GGTACGACCGCACGAGAAGACGAACTCGTCATCGCTTCAAAAAGAAGCAGTCTTGGAAGCCACCAAGAGAGTGCCGAACGCACGGAGTGAATCATCGATCCTCCGAATTCCATGGATCCGTACTATCCTTTGGTAAAGGAATATCAATATGTCGTCTCGACCGACCCGCCTTCGGTCCTACCTCCGGACCGAGGTGTGCGTCATGAGATTGACCTGGCTCCGAGAGCCAAATACTGCGTAACACGCCAATGGCTTTTGCCCAAGGAGCAGTACGACGTCATTGATGCCTTTTTCCGTGCGAAACACGATGCAGGGATGGTGCGTGAGAGTAACTCTCCCCATTCGACACCCACGTTTTGTGTTCGGAAGCCGAACGGCAAATGGCGTATCGTTCATGCTTACAATAAGCTTAACGCTGCCTCCATTCCGGCACAAACGCCAATTCCTAGAAAGGATGTTCGTCATAACAACATGGTGGGGTGTACGAAGTACAGTGCACTCGATTTAGTAATTGGATACTACCAATTGCTCATGAGAGCGAGTGACATTCCACTGACAGCGGTAAGCACTCCGAGCGGTATGCTCTGAGAGTGGCTGGTGATGTCCCAAGGGCTGTCAAATGCACCAGCAACATTTAATCGACTTGTGACGCAGTTGTTCAGGCCCCACAGGGCGTATGCACAGACAAACTTTGCCGACGTTTTCGTTCATAGTCGCGCGGAGCACGGGAGGACAGATGAGGCGAGCCACATCGTCCATTTAAGGGCGGTGCTCGAGTGCATGCGCACGAACAAACTGTACGACAATGCAGTCAAGTGCGTCTTTGGTGCAGAAGAGATTCCTTTTTAGGGTGCTTCATTGGGAAGCGTGGCCGCGAATCCCGCTAAAGGTCAAGGCCATTGTAGATTGGCCGGTCCCAAAAAACCAGAAGAACTTGCGTAAGTGGCTTGGTCTTGCCAATTACTTGCACAAGTACAGCGTTAAATTACACAGAAATGGCCCGGCCATTATCCAACCTCCTTAGAAAGGATGCAAAGTGGTGTTGGAACAACGAACATCAGGCGGCTTTTGACGGGGTCAAAGACAGCCTCTTTCATGCACCAATACTGGCGCTGCCAGACCCTGATCGTCCTTTCAGCGTCGTCTGGGATGCTTCGGACTTCGTCATCGGCTGTGCACTGCTGCAAGCAATCACCGAGAGGTGAGATCGGGTGATCGTGTTTAATCTTGCCAGCTCAAAGCTGCGGAGAAGAACTACCCAGTTCATGACAAGAAGCTACTTGCGATGAAGTATGCACTTGTCAAGTTCAGGGTC